GTTATTATATTAATTCTTTTAAGACATTGAAATGTAAATCCCAATTAAATTTGATTATGTCACTTTTATCTAATTTATTTGCAATTCTCAGTATTGTAATATATTATTACACTTATTATTATTAATTATATATATTACTTGCTAATTATGTCATACCATTTTTATAGGTTTGAATTGATTATTCAAATTATTTTACTGTATTATGTAGAAAAGTTTAATCAAAGGTGGTACCTAAATGGTGATATGCACAAAAGATATCACCATAACTATGAGTTGGAAATTTCTTTATTTATGTTGCAATATATTCAAAAAGATCAGGAAATGCATACAATGGTTTTTAATGCAGGGTATGAAGCTCAGCAAAATATCTAAATTAAATTTTGTTCTACAATTAACCTAAAGCATTTAAGTAAAATTTAGACTTAAGATTACTTTATATTTAATTAATTTAGGACTTTAATCAATTAATGATCATCTTCTGTTAAATTAAACTTTCTAGTCAAAGCTCTAAGTAATCTTACATATTATTCTCCAGGAATACTTTAGTTGATTTTAATATGTGTTAAAATTTGATCTTGAAATTTATTTGTATCACTTCTTAATAGAGTTAAATTGTAATATGTATCACATAAGACATTTATTGGATATTGCAATAAATTATCTGCTTTTTTTGATAAAAATTATCTAACAGGTTCTAATTTTCTATCATAACCCAAATGATCAAATATATGAGAAAATGAATCTAAACCACATTAGAGTCCTAAAATTAATTATTAAACAATTAACCATAATTATCCAATTAAGAATTTGAATTAGGAAGTCTTTCTAGTATTTCTTAATAATCTCTAGATTTGATTGCCTTATCTATATTACGATTGACATAATTCAACTCTTTGATATTTGTAGACAATCTACTAAGCAATGTATTTATGTCTTTTAATTTAACACAAAAAGGTCTTTTAGATATAAATTATAGCATTTTTATTATTTAATGTTTTATAACCTTCCAAGAACTCCATATATAAAAACAAGAGTACAACCAAGAGTTTTATACAATGGATTTGAAAAGTACAAGTAAGTCTCTATAACAGCACAAAAATAGTAAAGGTTCAAAATACTTTTGAATATTACCATTATTTATAAAAGAAAAAGGAGTATTAAGATTAATAGAAAGAATTATTGGAAGGATTGAAAATAGAGAATGAAGATATGAAAAAATTATCTTATTCAGTAAAATGTTTTGGAGTTAGTAACAAAGAAGGAAAATTTGGAGTTCAAAGCCAGCGTAAATTTATGGGTGGATCATTTGAATCCCAACCTAATTATGAGGTGAATGTTTAAAGTGAAAGAATATCTTATCCTTTCAAGTCAAAACGCCTAATTTCTAGCCGAAGATAATTAAGAGACAGATAGAAACCCCACTCCGAAATTCTTAAATTACCAGAGAGACCAGAAACAGTCAGAACAGAACTCGTCTCAAACGTCGATAAAATAGTTAGGAAATCGCGCTTAAAGTTTAAACAATAACATTCTCAACCATAGCCCGAGATAGCATTCGAGAAAGGAAAAGCTAAGTATCAATCTTATAGTCGTCTCCTCTCAGAGGCCCATAGTCATGAAAGTTTTTATAAAATCCTTAGTCCTTGATTATTTAAGACTCTTTTTTTATTTTTAAATTGATCATTACTTATAATAAACTATCATTATTATATATAAATCAATGATATTGTATAATATAAAAATAAATTAGATTTTCTTCATATATAACATTTAATTTGATTCTGTGTACTTAATTTAATAATAAGAATGATATACATTTAAAGGATATGCTATTTTTATTAGCTTAATTAAGAAAATAAATAAATAATTTTATATTTAAAAATAACATCAATATAATTATTAAGTCAAATAATATATGATCTTAATTGCTTATCATAGAATGAAGATGTCACTATTAGATTATTATACCAATCCATAGCATAAGCAAGAGAAGAATGATCTTTATATTCCTAAATTAATTAAACTAAAATATAATATAACATAGTACCTTATTTATTATTAATTTCAATCAACTCATATTTATGCTCTTAAAATAGTCCATTCAAATATTAATTCCCTTTCTTTATAATTCTCCATATTCCCCCTTCTCTTTTGTATTCTTCTATCGGAAAATTTGGTTGTCTTTTATCAAATATTCTAATATAACCATCGAATGATCCTGTAATTAAATTATGTTCTCCATCATTTAATAAGTAAGTGATTCCTTAAGAATGTGATCTATTTTTAATATAAAACATATATACTTTTTGTCTTTTCTTAATAATCCAATTCTTGCATCGTAATAATTAAGACAAGCATCATCACTTCCACTATAAAATAAATCTTCATTTGTATTATCTAAAAGTGTGCACCATACTGAATATTCATGAGATTTTTATTAATATATAATCTATCCTTATTTTTGTAAAATCACTTCACCATTATCTCCTCCCAATAATAAACACTATTGAATATTACAATCTAAATATAATAATTTAATGTCTTAAAAGCATTCTATAAAGGATTGCTTGCTTTTTAAACTAAATTTATTATCCTATATATTAACAGTCCAAACATCTCCTTTCCATGTACAAAGTGTAATTTAATCATTAATTATTTTAAAATGCAGTATTCCATCACAATCCAATTTATCAATAATGTTTAAGTTTTTGTTTAACAATAACAATACTCCTGTTTTAGTATCATCATTAATAAAATCATAAGTTGAAACTACTATATGATTTTCATCAATAATTGAAATACAATCAGGACAATAATCTAAAAGTATATTATTCATAAAGTATTAATCAAATAAAACAATATATTCATATAATCGATAATTAAATAATTAATAGTTATATTATATTTATTTATTATGCATTAGTTATTAATGTTAATATGTACTTTAATAATTGATATAATTATCATTATTTACTAATTTAATATATTTTTATTATTTATCTGTTGTATACAATTAAGAATATTTCTATTAATTATTAGAGTTATTTCATATAAGTGATTCAATTTAATAGCTATAAAATAAAAAGATTTTTCTTATAATAAATATTTTGTGTAAAATGTATCAAGTTTAGGTATTTGAATATTTTAATTAACAGTCCTTTAAGTGTTTTTTTAATTTTTATTCTTTGTGTTTCATTCCTCTATAATAATATAGTAATAATTATTGATTTAGTTATTAATTAAAATAATGGAAATTTAGTTTGTAGATGAGAAATTTGAATATTTTATTTAGGATTAGTTGTATGAAAATTTACGAGTTGAGGATGACCCTTCAAAAGTAAAGGAATATTTCATCCTATTAATGAGTGATTTAATAAAAGATAAGGAAGTAAAAATTGAGCCACTAAATGATTAAAAAGAATATGTGGCATAAGTAGGAAATGGTGACTGTTACTTAATTAAATAAAGTAGAATATTTAAGTGCAATTCATTTTCAGCTCTTAAATCAAAATACTTGCAAAATTGTTCTACAGCTTTAAGTAATATGATTGATCTAACATTAAATAAGTGAATTAATTATTTTATATATATTAAATATAAATATTTCGTTATTTTAATTTGATTGATAGGGAATTTATTCAATTTTCTTTATGATTCTCTTAATAATACCCTTAACTAAAAAATATATTAGGTTTTGAACTTTATTTATAATTAAAATTAATTTCTGGAATTATTTGATTTTGTTTTCCATAACATCTATTACTAAATGGAAAATTAAAAAATAATTCAATAGAAATCATAAGACTTGTATTTCAGAAAAGTATTATATTTAATAATTTATAATTAGAAATTATTTTTTTTAATTAATTAGGTTTCAATTATTAAATTATTAACTTTATAAAAAATATATAAAAAAGTATTGGTAGGATTCTATAAAAAAATAACTATTCATTTTCACTCACTTATTGATAGTTTAACCTCATTTTGTATAATTTAATCATAGATTTCTATCAATTTTGCTCCTAATCGATATCCTCCAATAGATAAGTTTTCTTCACAAAATTCAATGGCTTATTTTTCATAGTCCTTATTGTAAGAATTTGATGTCGCTACCATGGGATAAACAAATTATTGTGCTTATCTAAAACCGAGGTAAGTCCAAACAGAAGGATTACTAGATAACAAATTTCTTAGTACGTCATGTCATAATTGCTGTATTTTGATTTTGGGAATTTAGTCATTAATTCTTTGGACCATTTGTCTAAATACTCACTATCAGATTAACTTAAAGGTCTAGCCATGAAACTATTATTAGGGGCAAAGGAGACAGCTCCAGAATCCCAAAAAGAATGAAAGTTCATGAGTGTTCCATTTGATAACTTAATATATATAATTTAAATACTTAGATCTTCATAAAGTTTCCACCTGCATCTCCGTTAGGGTAGCTACTATTCCAAAAAGTAGTATCATGTAAAGGTTGATGTATATCACCAATAACATGTAATAAAACTCTCATCATCTATGCTTTAAAAACAGTATGACGATTTTTTGAAGTCTTTGGGTTAGTTAAAACTGACACTGCTTGATTAATAGCATAGATTGAGTTTATATTTCTACCTTAATCATCAATCTTTATCAATAATCTAAGAAATAGTCTATAATTTTACCCATCTGGATTGATTGGTCTGTCAGTGTAATGCCAATCATTAAGAAATCCGGTTCCTGTTTCTTTTATATCATCTAACCAGACTGCTGCTTCAGCAAATGTGTTAGATCTACCATCTGTAAGGGAATTGAAGTCTTAAACTAACGAATCTGCCCAAGCCAAGACATCTGGTCTATTATCCTTGAGAAAATTCTTTGCGATTTGGGCTGTCATCATATGACCAACTTCCCACCAACAATAGACTACAGAAATAAGATAACAGAAGACAAATCCTTTCATTAATACGATTATTAAATACTCAAATGTAGTAAATTAATACCTCATATTTATATAATCAAAATTTCTTAGTATAATTGCTTTTTTATTAAGATTTGCTTTAATTTTATTTATTCCTGGATTACTTCTTTTATAATTTATCCAAATCATATAATTTTGTAGATTTCAAATTACCAATTGTTGTTTATGTCTACATAGTTTCTTATCTAAATTTAGGTGATTAACAAATTGGTGTGTTTTAATGCTTTTCTTGATCAATCTTCTTCATTAATATTCTATTTTGATTATCATTTAATTTTTAATTTGTTGTATCAGATAGAACTCTTTCATCCATGACTGTTGGATTGAAAGAAACTAATTGATTTGTGGGGATTAAATAAGTAGAGTCAGTTTTTTATGGAGATGGTGATTAATCTTCAACTTATTATTCAAATATTGAGGGATAATTGAATTCATCTAATAATTATTAATAAGTTGGTCTTTTATCAGGAATAAAACTAACACAAGCTAATATTAATTTTTCTAATTTTTCTATTTAATTATTATATGTAATTTTTACTATTTAAATGAAATTATGTAAATAAATTAATATATTTATCGAATTTTTCAGTCAAACAACATTTCTCATAATTATAAATTTCTGCTTCATATGGAGTAGTTTCAGTATATATTGCAATCATAATCAATCCAAAATTAAATATTGTAGCTTTTTCATTATTAAATGTTTTTGAATCATTCATTCTTAAACATTTCATGACTTCTGGTGCAAAATACCAATCTTCACATTTTAAATCTCCAGATAATATACACTAATAATCACTTTATTATGAAAGTAATTATTAGTATACAATTTTCACTTAATCTCCAAAAATTAATAATTTAGATAGACAAAATTAACATGTGTCTATTTTACGTGAATTTAAAAAGCTTAATGTTTTTAGGATATCAATACTAAATTTTTGCACATTAATTTGATATATATTTTTTAAGTGTTTTTCTGTATAATCTAATGTTAAATGAATTTTGTGAAATTTTGAACATAATTATGATTCAATTTCATGTTCAATTTTATTTATTCTCACTAAATTATACTATTACAATAAGAATATAAAATACTTATTCTTGGTTCAACTATTAAAATTCTTCATATATTTTATTTGCTTCATCTTCCTATACAGTGAATGTCCGTAAACATTAATATTTGTCTTAACAATTCTTAAATACTTTTATAGGTCCATATAAAGGATGATTGAGTTGTTTAACCATTACCCATTGATTTGAATGAATAATTTAAGGTTTTAATTCATTATTACCCATAAATTTGAAAAATAATTCTGTTAAATAAATATTTTATATAATATGAAATTTATAATCAATTATAATCTAATTCATCTAAGATCATACTTGATTTAATAAATCTTATTATTTTAAAATTAAAAAAGAAATATTATCTTAAATTATTTTAGAATAATAAATATATCAACATTTCTATTTAAAGTAAGTTACTTTTAAGAAATTAGTATATGAGGACAAAAATAAGTTTCTGTATACATTATAAATAATATTACCATTATAAATTTTTGTTATTATTCAAACTATCTATAAATGTTATTTATTAAGACAAATATATAATGATATAATTATATATTAAATTATAAGATAAATAAAGATTATGAGTATATAACTTTATTAGAAATACATAGATATAATTAGAGAATATAAAAATAGATATGTAATACTACTATTATAGATAATTTAATTATATTATAATTGACCGTTTCTTTTTAAATGAAATTTAGAAAAAGGAGAGAGTAAACTTATTTATCTGAAATCAAATTAATATCATCATTAAAAATTACCTCTTAGTGTTATTAATAAATTATTATTTGGAAAAAAATATTTATATAAATAGAGTCAGCAGTTCTATTCCATTCAAATATTTGAAAATGGTTTTACTCCATAAATGTTTCTAATTTAGATACTTAATCTCTTTTGTTATGTTTAAGGCATAGATTTTTCTGGAGAATCATTTTAGGATAATTTAGTACATGATATATGTTCTTGGCTGAAATTTCTATGTACTCTATTAAAGAGAGGTTGAGAAATAATTAGTGATTTATTAAAAGAAAATAATTTTAAGAGGGGTTTCTATGGTTATTTACATTTTTAAATAATAAAGTTTGGAATTTTCTTTAGAGAACCTCTTTTGTTATTATCAGATATTTTAATAGTATCTTATCTTGGTCTAATGCCTATCAATATCTTTAGAACTTTTGTATGATCCTTTAAGCCTGCTTTAGAATGAGGCATAAATACTTTTTAATGCTGAATTATATTTTACAGTGGGTATTAATCTTTTTAATTTATCAAATACTAGCTTTCCTAATTTCTAATTTCTATGCATAGGAATATCTATTTTGATTTATTGCATCCATTTTTTGGAATAGTTTTCATCTCCAAATATAGAGGCCCTAGCAGACTTTTATCTAAATCTGGAGATATGAAAGGAAGAGTCGCATTTATACTTCAATTATTGTAGATATCTATGAGATTTAAAACTTGATTAATGCTATCTTTCATTCCATTCAGACTATAGAGATAAAGATCTAGAGTTTAATTTGAGCATAGGTTGTTTAATAAATAAAAAATAGGATAATATTATAATAATATTTTCTCATTAATATTATATAAATAATATCATTGTTCATTTAAAGTTATTATAAACTTTGGATAAATCCTATTTCTCTTAATATAATAATAATCACCTTCTTTGTAATTATTTTCAGAATAATCACTAATTAAAAATTATTATTTCAAATCTTACACTTATCCTAATAAAACTTATACTACAATTAACTGTTTTTATCCTTTCTAAGATTCACAATAATTATCTTTAACATAAGCAATTGTTGTACCACATTTAATATAAGGTCCTGTATGCTATATAAATATATATATAATATAATTTACATGATCAAAAGATAATGATAAACTAACTCTTCCAATTTCTTCTTAAGCACAATCATTTTTATTTCCAAATAACATCAATACTTCATTCTAATTAGTCAATTTACTTTTTGTTGATTAATATTTAGCCCATAAATCATAATTTTAAGCTAATTATATATTATTAATATCTAAAAATGGAAAAGCTTATTTAATTTCTTCTAAATCTGGTTGTATAACATCAAAATAATATAAACTTTAATAGCTAGAAGGATTCCAATTTTATGGAATTTATTATAGAAATTCTAAAACCTCTAGAATTAATTATTGATACTTTTCAAAAGATTTAATTTAAATTATTTAATTTTAATTGAATTCTCCTTCTATTTATAGAGTATTATTATTAAGATAATTTAAAAAACTAAAATAGATCTAATCATTAGTAGCAGGTAATATAATTTCAAAAGTAGTTATATGTTTATCTAAAATTTTTTAGATGGTATTCTTTATCTTCTCAATTTAATTTTATTTAGTTTATTCAATATCTTAGACTTAATTAATAAATACTCTTGCACGACAATAAATTTGATTATCACCATTGGGAGTATCTTGAGATGTTTCTACATTTTATTTTTATTTTATGAAATCATGTATAAATTAAAAATATTTATCAGTTCTAATTTCTCTTCTTAATTTTCTTTTGTATTTTGTATCTAAATTAATTTAATAAATTTCATCTTTAGTTTTGAAAAATATCAAATATTTTTTAAAAAATACTGTGAATTAATATTTTTTCATTTAAATTCTTTCATTGATATATTAATTCAAAATATCATCTGCCTACTCATTACCAATATAATATAATCCATCCTTTTATTTTATCATTTTAATTTAACCATTTGCATGATCTAATAATGTTCCTTTATTTATATCAATAGTATGAGTTCCAGGTTACTAAGAGTAAGGAAATTTTAATATCAATTCATTATTTTTATTGTCTAATTTATAAGCTTAATATGCAATTTCAATTTATTCATTAATCATAGCATCATCATAATCATTATATTATCTTCCATCTGACCATTACCATTAAAAATCTTAATAAGTTTCTCTCATTGATGTCATTAAAGTATTTATTAATTCTTATTCATAAAGAGGTTTGAGTTTTTTGTTATCAATAAAAATTGTAAGTTATTAGAATTTGGTTTAATCTTTAGACATAAACAATTATAATAATTTTGGAAATACATCCTTTATATCTTCATACATTACTCCAATTTATTTGAATGGAACTTTTTATTTTTGATAATATATAAAATAATCTTTAAGAGCTATTATATTTGGATGAACTATATCTTCTTTTTAATAAATAACTTTTTAATCTAAATTATGTTTATTATTGCATTTCATGAAAATTTCACATATAAAATTAGTATCAAAATTAACTTCTTTTGTTAAAAATTTAATAAATTAATTTTCAGTAGTTTATTGTTTTTTTTAATATTATTTGATTTCTCCTGTATCTGTAGGAGTTTAATATTCATTAAAATTAAAAAGTAACTCAAATATCTATTCCTCACTTGCTTTTTGAATTTCTTTTTAACAATTACTATATAAATATTTTGATTCCATTTTACTAATTCCTATTGGTATTTCTAATAATAATTTATCTAAGATTTTTTCATATTTTGCAAAAATCTCTAATACTGCCATATTTTTTGTTGGACATTCTATATAAATAATTTCATTATTTTATGATAATTTAATTGAGTATATCTCTAATGATTATTCTATAATTTTATTTTTATAATCCTAATATATTTATTAAGCATATAATTTAGATTTTGGTTTATATGATAAAAGTGATTATTATTTTTTACTATCTAACAAACTTAACATTTAATTTAATTGTTTAGTATGTAAAATACAAGTTAATTTATTATTTTCAACATGAACTAAAGCACAATATTTCTGTTAAAATTAATCAATTGTTAATTCTAATTAATTAAGTTCATTCATCTATAAATTTATAATTTAAAGTTATGATAATGTTTCATTTAGTATTGTTTCCAAAGCTATTATATCATTATTTAATACTCGATTAAAATAAACCAATACTTCTATATGTTATATTTTAATATCATTTATAGATAAAATATATTGTTATTAAGTAACATCCATAAATAATTTTGTTAATACTTACTTTTTTTATTCTATTCCTAATTATTCCAAATAAAAACTTATTTTTTAATCTATTTTAAGATACAATGATGATGTTTTTAATTATTTTAAATTTAAATTAACTTAAGCTCTAAATTATTTTATTTGTTAAATAGAATTATTTAATTTTATTCCCTATTTACAATGTTTAAATTTAATATTTGAATTTGTTATTAAAGGTAATTTACAAACATAATTTTCAAAATTTAGTTTATCCTATATATTTAATCTTAATATTTTAGATGCTCTATCCTATATTTCTTATTAAAATTATTAATCTACATTAAGGTAATCATCATACTATTCAATTTCTAAATATATTAATTTTAAAAAACTAGAAATATCAAATCTATTATAACCAACCTTAATGTTAATATTTTAATTTTATTTTACAAATTCTTTTGCAATTTCCTTTAATTCTATTCTAGTACATTTTGGTTTCTTAATAGAAATAACAAGTGTGTGAATATTGAAATTATCATTTATGAAACTATTTAATAATACTTATTTCTATAAAATCAAAGGATCCAAATATTATTACTACATATTTTGATTGAAATTTAAAATGAATATCAATTTTTTTAAACATTATACCTCCTTGTGGGGTTCTTTAATTTCTCCAATAAGTAAATATTCTTAATTTGTTTCTAAAATTTTTGCCAATTTATCAAGAGATTTCCATAGAAATCCCATTTTAGAGCTCTTTTCTATTTCATTTTTACTATATACAGAATATACAATAGAACTTTGTATTTGTTAATTTATTTGATTTAAAAGGTTTTATTAATTTCCCTTAAGTTGTTGATTTGTTTTATATTCACTTAAATTAAAATCTGGATATATTTTAATCTAAGACAACTATGTTTATTAATAGAAATGATTTTTCATAAGATTATGAATAGCAATAAATTTAATTTTTTTAGATATCCCAATTGCTTCATTAAAATGTTATTTATGCCATTAAGGATCTTACTAAAGTTAATTTTGATCATCCAAGTTAAAAATGTCATTTTGATCAATAATAAAATTTTAATTTTGAATCAAAGCATTTTATTTTTAACCATCATATTCCAAAAAGATTTCTCCATGTAATTTTTCCAAAATCTCTAATATATTTTACTTTTAATCATTTTAATCTAGATTGATTTTCAACTTAATTGTGCTATTCATTTTATTATTTGTATAAAAATTTAAATTTTATAATCATAAAATGATTATTGATTAACAACTAAAACTTATAAGGATTATTTTTAAATTGGAATTATGAAGAGATGATAAATAACTATATTTTATGATTTAAAAATAAGAAATCAGATTAACCTTTTTTTTATTAAATTCAGTTTATTTATTATATGTTATTAATAAAAAATATCTTTTAAACTAGTCAAGCCAGAATTTAAATTGAGTTCTTGAAATCAGACTTTGTTTGATAATAAACTATTTATTCTTAATTATTTCTGATTAATAAGAATGATTAATAATACAAAATACATAAAATAATTTAATGAGAATAACTTTAATAGACAATTTAACAATTATTGCTCATTCCTAACATTAGAATTAAGCCGGAAATACAATGGTAAGTGTTATTCTCATAATTCCATATATATAATATTTGTCTCTTCTGCTGCCATCTCATGGATGGTCTTATTGGAATTATAGTGATGGCTATTTATCATTCATTTAAAAGGCATGCTCTTATTTTACCATAACTCCTTTTTTTGAATTTCAAAACAACTTCATATATTATCCATTTACAATTTTTAGTTTAATAATAATGGTAGGACTGATTTTATATTTGAGTATTTTTACTTTAGAAATGCAATCTGAAAATAAGAAAGTCAAATATTAGGAAGGTAGAACAAGTACTTTATGCACAGTCATTCTATTCACAATCCAAACTCTTTAAATTCCATGCTATAAGTTCTATATATAATAAATTATAGAGGCATAGTAAAAAAACCTTTAGAACTAATTAATTATAAACATAATTTCGATTATATTGTACTGCATGTATATTTTTATGAGTGAATACTTTTTGAGATAATATTCATTTGCACCTTATCATCCTATGTAATAAAAGTTTACACGATTAAGAGTTTCTCAGATTCTTCTAAATTTGATAGCAATAGTTTTAACATTGGAATAAGAGTCTAGATTATACAATTTGATTGGCCTACTAATGTTACATTCGATTTTTGTTTTAAAAATGCTTAATCATTTATATTATAAACCTGAAGCTCCCAATAAAAATATGATTCATTTTGAAGCATCCTTTACATTAGAATCAATAGCTATATTAATAACAGTCAATGTTTTTTCAGAAAATTAAATATTCCCTGAACAATAGATTGGAATTTATATAATGTTTATTTTTAGTTTAGGCATGATTTTAGGAAATTTGTTATTTACTTTCTTACTTTAATTGAATCTTGATCCAAAGACTAGATAACTCTATTA